TCGCTAGAATTTGAATTTATTTGTGGAAATTCATGACTACGCATGAATTGTTCACACTAATTCACTCATATAGCAAGCATTTTTCATGAATGCATAAAACCGATTTCTACTGGGATATTAATGCATATATAAATACACACGTATCTGCATACATATGTACAAAATATGCAAGCTGTACAAAGCTCAATAACAAAACTAAAATAAAATATTTATTTAATATTTCATATGTTCTACATAACTATTCCCCCTTCCCATTTTATCGTGCTTCCATATTACAACCTTTTGTAAGGGAGCCGTTGAAACGTGCTGTCACTATGTACAATGTAATGCTGCCCAGCTATTCCCTGGTGTTAACTGGTATATAACGCGAAGGAATTTTTTGTTCAGGACAAAAGATCTGTACCGTAGAGTTGGAGAAACTTCGATGTTTGAAAGAAAAACTTCGATGAATCATCTATGTTTTTTTTTTTTTTAATTGGAGAATTAGACTATTCAGCCTTTCACTTAAAATTTTGCTTGGGAATAAATTCTACTATATCAAAAATACATACAAAAATGTAGTTTTTTTTCTATATTTAAATTGATTATAATAAATTATATTGCTTTTGTCCCTTCAAGGGCTTGAGATCAAAAATTACTTGTGCACTTACATACATATGCATGTAGGTATAAATGAGGCACGCCTTTTAAAAATTATTAAGATTTTTGCTGACGCATGAATAATTAATTGGACCAAATCATGAATAATGCTTTGTCTCTTCGAAGAAGCTCCAAGGGCTCGATATCAAAAATTACTTATGTATGTGTAAATGAGGCATAATTCAATAATAAAAGGTTTGCTCAGAAAACAGATTTCTCGCTCCCTCTTGACAAAATCCTAGAGCCCGGCGGATTCCCAATTTTTGGCCGATGCCGATGCCGATTCCTTAAAAAAAAGTACCTGGATATATTTAAATTCATTTAAGAACAAATGCGTTTAATAAATTTTAATAACAACAGAAGAAAAACATAAACAAATAACTAAATATCGTTACAAAAACAATAATCATCCAAGAATCTATTCACTTATTTGTGTACATACATAAATATGTTTTAAAAAATAGTACATCGCTTATACGTATCATTACAATACTTTGTTCCATAGTCTTTCTTGTGTTAATAAAAAGTAACCGTAGATTTTAAAATAATGATGCAAGTATTGTTGTTACGTAAATAATTTAACAATCCAGTGAAAAGAACCCGAAAGATTTCGAAATTCAGCGATTAATTCAAGGATAATCGTATCAATGCATACAGTGACGAAAATATGAACACGGAACAGATATTTCATTCTTTGGCTATTTCCCTTTCGTTTATTTAATGTGTATTACTTTTTTATGAAAGTGTAGCTCGTTATCTAACAAAAACCATGTAAGTAACAATTTCAAACTGTATACAAAAATTAGCAAAATTCGACAGCTTTTTAATTAGATTTTCAAGAAACATTCTGAGTATGCAGCTTTGCAGCCCATTGAATTTTATTATACGAAGTGCAAATTTTACGTAGCTAGGACTTACCGTTGATTTTTGGCAATTTTTTTGTGGAAGGTTTTGCTGATTTTCTCCAAACAGTTTCGAACATACTTTGTATGGCAGAAAATGCGTAAACAAACAATTGCCAAAAATCAACGATAAGACCTTTAATTGCATACTTAAAAAAGTGCTATAAAATCGAATTAAACCGTTTCAAACTTTTGGTGAACATTTGTTAAGGTTTGTCGAACTTTTATTAATGTTCTGCAAAGTTTGAAATTTTAATTTACAGGGTTTTGATTAGATAGTAAGCTACATTTTCATACAAAAATAATAAAAATTTTTTAAACAAAGAAAAATAGCCAAAACTTGCTAAAATATGTCTTCCCTATTTACATTCTCGACACCGTACATCATAAAAACGGAAAAATGAGAACTCATTTATTAATATTTTAAGATTTAAAGGAATTAAAAAAGTAAAAAATAAATAACATGGAATTAAGTGCGAAAAAAGTAAAAAGAATCGGCTAAGAATCCGCCAAAAATGGCCGATGCCGATTAATCGGTCGGACTCTAGTGCAACTTTTTGTAAGTGAGTGTCGAAACTCGAATGTCACTAGTGAACAAAAATGAAATTATAATTATTTATGATGTAAATGAGGAACGTTTTTAAAGTCCTTTAAATATTATTAAGATTTTTGCTGACTTACGAATAATTGCTTAATTTTACCTTTTTACGCGCCAAATAAATGTAGTTTTGCAATTTGGGAAAGACATCGGTGTTGAGAAAAAAACATCGATGTTAGCAGCTCATATAAACCAGTGATGCACATGGGAGTCTCCGGCTACTCGGCTTTCACACACAAGTCGTATGTGCGCAGCTACCGAACTTATGCGCCGCTAGCAGCCGGTCAGTTTACGTTTGGACTTCATGCTGTAAGCCACAGTATATACAGTAATAAACCTTTTCACAGTTTTTCACCATTTGGTCCCCGAGGAGTACTTTTGGGTTGTGTGCAGCGCTTTCGTTTTGCGCGCACGGCAACACTTACTGTGGGGAATTTCGCCTCGTGATTAGAAAAAGTTCATTTCGAGGATAAACTATACATAATTATGTGTTATTTATGAACAAAATGTAGGTTAAGTATAATATTCATCTTTAATGTATGCTGATATTCATGCTTAATGAAAAATAATATCAATAGTTAAGTACATAATTAACGCTTGTGTTTTATTAACTGGAAAGCTCAAATCATAATTTCTTAAATGTAGTTTTCTTAAATGTAAGTTTAAAATATAAAAAAGTCCATTGTAAGATTATATTTTTATTAAAAACGTAAATTTTGTGATTTTATCAAGCCAAATTCTAAATTTCCGAATATATTTAAGTATTTATTTCAGAAAAAATAAGGTTTGTATAGCTATACAGACCCCAATGCCTGCCAGCGCATCCGCCCAGACAGTCCATTAAGCACACCCAAGTTTGAGTGATCTACAAGTTACAAGCGTTTTCAGCATTTAACAGTTCATTATCATGTACGGTGTAATATAACAAATTATACACTGAACTATGATAATCTTTACTAGTATCTATAATAATAACAATAATTTGCAATGTTTTTCACTTTTGCAATTAGTTTCGGGCACTATTACACAGCCATGACTTGTGCCACTCTGCCATGGTACGGTTGTTGCACCCTTTCATACCACAGTAATTTTGTATACAACTCTGAATCAACAAAATTCATGCTCCTTCTCATTAACAACCCTGATCAGATTTTACCCCCGAGGAGTACTCAAAAAGGTTTATTACTGTATATACTGTGCTGTAAGCATAGCATACGCGAGCTGGTTTGCTGGGTACACACATACAGATACAAAAATATTGCGCTTGTATTGGGAGCTCTGGCAACGCTGTGCACCACTTTTTTAACTTCCCAGTAGTATTTCTCTATGCACAATTGGGTGGTTCAGAAGGTGTCGTATTGTCGGATTTTGTTAAAGTTTTTAACGGCTATATAAATTTTTAGAGGACTTGAAATCACCACCAACTATTTTTTAACGGTGTGAAATTTCATAATAAAACTTTTATGTTGGCTTGCGAATTCCTTAAATATAGTTTTAGCGGTTTAAAGCTTATGACATACAACAGTACGACAGTATACAACACCTTGTGAACTCCCTAAATGTATTCAATGTATAGCGTACTATTTGCTTGTAGAGTAAGTACTTACGCTCACACTTTCGGCAAATTTGTTACTAAATCTTGTAAGTAGAACTGATTTTGAATTATTTTCTTAATAAATCTTTACAAGCTTTGTTTTTTGCAGCAGGTGCCTCAAAGATATTTATTCTTTCGACACATATGACTTAAATATGATGCAAACCAAGCGTACGCGCTTTTTCTTATTCTTGGACTAAGGATCCCGCGTTCAAAGGCTGGTAGTGTAAACACTTGAGGCTACAAGGCTTATTACAATGTTTGCAATTGCATATAAAAAGCCAAATCAGGAAGAGCTGATCTATTGCATCACGCACGCTCTCAAAAGCACTATGTTCCTTCTTAGCATAACGTAGTTTAGCATTTTCGACAACCGACCACCTAACCAAATGTCTACAAGAAAAAAAAATATATAAAAAATCAACGCAATTCTTTAGCAACTTAAAACTTGCACATTATTACCCTCGAATTTAATAGGCTATCAAACTGTATACTCAAAAAAAAAATCTAAAAAATCTGAATAAAAACTTGAAAATCTAGCTGAAACTTTGCAGATTTTATATAATTTTTGCACAAAGTTTGAAATGTGGATTTAAATTGTGTTAGTTATATAAAGAGTTAGACTTTTATGAAAAAATAATAAACATTAAATAAACAAAAGAAAAACAGCAAAAATCGATCAAAATGTTGATGTCTTAATCAGCTGATCACAAGTGTATGTATAAAATGATTTTTATATTAACGATCTCAAATCAGTTTCCAATAGTGGTATTCACCAAATTGTTGTCAACAGTCCTTTCTTGAGCTCATCTGCTGTTTTGCCAGAGTGCCAGGCCACTTGCTCACTTTGGTGAATACCACTAATGAATTTTAAATGTGCTCTGTCGAAATGACATCCCAGCAAGACCGCACTAAGGGATTCACAAATACATAAATAAACTGATGTGAATTTACGCATACAAATGCAATAAATTTGCCAATTACTTGTGAATGTAAGAACGTGACGGCTTCTAATACTGCTTAACGTAGTGGTGGCATTTCCTTTTAACATGTGTACAAGATATGCACGTGCTAAATATTTGTCAAAAGTAAAAAGTCATAGTGCCGGCCAGAAGCAGAAATAGAAAATTAAAAAGAAAAAGTCTTCAAACAGCAAAAAGGCAAGTACAATTTATATAAAATGTATAAGAAATGCTTTAAGCAGTGAAAAGTCGCGTTTTGCGAAAAGTGTTGAAAAATATAAAGACATTGATTGTTTTGCGCGCAGTGAAAGTGTGACGGACAAAAGTGATGTAGACAGCGAAGTGGTGCTTCAAGATGGCGGTGATAAAATTAATTTAAATAGCAATAATAGCATTGATTTGGATGAAGTAGTGCAAGTTGACCCAATTACTGATAAAGTGTGCGAAATAAAGGCATTGGCCATTCGTAATAATATGCCCCAAAAGATGGTAACTGATATTTTGCAAATTTTAAAAAGAATTAATGTTGACGGTTTGCCTCTTTCCGCAAAAAGCCTTCTGGGAACCCAAAAAGAAAAGGTTGAATGCAGTCCATTCCAAACGGAGAATTTTTATATTTTGGAATTCAGACGCACTTTTTAACAAAACCGTTTGAGTTCCTTGAAGACAGCACGGAAGTCCAAATCCATGTTCGAATTGACGGGCTTAAGTTATTTAAAAGCTCAAACAAAGTATTATGGCCAATATTAGGTTCAATTGCTGGACATTTTCAAGAGAGTCCATTTGTTATTGGTTGTTTTTCTGGAACGCAAAAACCATGTAATATTAACGATTTTATGAAAGATTTTTGTGAGGAAGTTTCAACACTACAAAGAATCGGACTAAAAGTCGGCACTTGCGACTATTTTAAAAGATTTGATATTCGATTGTTTATTTGTGATTCGCCAGCTCGGGCGTTTGTTACCAGTGTGAATTCACATAATGGGAAAAACAGTTGCCCTAAGTGTAATCAAGTTGAAAAATATTTACAAAACCGGGTCTGTTTTTCCAAACAGGTAGAAGCGCCACGATCTGATGTATCATTTAAAAATAGAGTTGATACACTTCATCACAATTTTCTATTTCGGCGGCAAAAAAATATTATAGAAATTCATAAATTTAGAATGGTGTCACAATTTCATTTAGACCCTATGCACCTAGTTGATTTAGGCGTTACCAAAAAATTACTAAAATTGCTAATAAAAGAAGGAAACGTAATTAATATGAATAAAAAATTAGATTATCTGTCAAATTTAGTTCCATCGGAATTTGGCCGAGTCTGTCGAAATTTTGATACATTTAGCATTTGGAAGTCGACAGAATTTAGACAGTTTTTATTATACTCTGGTATATTTGTTTTAAAAGATTGCGTTAATGATAACTTGTATTACCTTTACCTCTTATTACATGCCGGAATAAGGCTACTTTCGTCTGAAGTACTTTTCGTCTGAACTTTGTAATCAGCGGTAATTTTTAGCTACTTGAAACTTGCACTTTATTATACTGAATCCGATTAAAAAGCTTGAAATTTGGATGGCCATTTCTTTAAATTCTCCAAATTTGTGCGGATTTTGTAGAAATATTGCAACATTGATTTATATGGTTTTGGTTGTGGATTGAGCTGTATTTTAAATGAAAATTAACTAAAAATATTTATAATGGAAGACGTTTTGAATTTCATGAAGAAACTAAACAGAAAACTTCTGAGACTAACTGTATGTGTGTTTATAATAATTATGTTTAATATTTCAAAGGTAATTAAAAAACGATTTGCAACTTCTGCCAACTTCAACCAAGCAGGGGCTGCAGAGTTCACAAACCTACCAACGCCGAAGGCTGCAAAAATTTACGTGGATTCGTCTTCAGGTACATGATTTATAAAAATATCTAATTTGTCATCATTTGTTTATACTTAACAGATTCAACTGCTATTTTGGCACAAATTTTGGAAAACCAAAAAACTATAATTACTAACCAGCAAAAGTTTGATGAGCGCCTTCAAAATTTGGAGAAGGCTCGTGACAAAAATGTAAGAGTATTGATTAGTTTATACTGTAGTAATGTCCTAAATACATAAATGTATTTCAGGCAATCGATAATACAACGCTAATGGCACAAAACCAGACCATTCGCGAATGTAAAGTGCTGGTAAGCAAAGTGCTACGTTCGGTCGGTCGTCTGACAGGCGAACTTGGAGACGAGATGCAAATAGAGATCGCTGCAACGTTGCCCTTGGCAAGTATTGCCGCAGCTAAAGATGTCGAAGAAAAGCTGGAAAAACAGGAATACTTCGAATCAATGGTGACCGAGTTAATATTACATGCAAGAATCATTTTACTTTTTATTTAAATACTTTTACAGAAAATCTACTTGTTCCAAATGAAAGGGAGCAACGAAACGGTGGATGACGTTTTCCGAAGGGTCATGACCGACGAACTAGCCTTTTTATTCAATTTTGATGGAAGGAAGGAGAAGAGGGCGTTAACAAAATTGAAACTAATTAACCAAGTGGCGGTAATAGATGTTTAATTGGTATCTAGTGTATCTACTACTATTTACTTGTAAATTTTCTTTTCAGAGGTTTTCACAACTGAAGGTCGCCAGCAGTTAGAAAAGGCATTGAGTTGAGTCACAATCGCTCTCACCAAAAGAAATTTTTAATAAAAAGTAAAAATGTTGTATAAATGTATAGACAAAAATGTAACTATTAGTGTAAGAAAATTTACCTACATACACCAGTTTGGGCAGTTTTGTTCGTTTGTTTAAAGTTATATATATATATATATGTATATATATATACATATATACATATGTATGTTTTGAAAAAGCAGTCCATGATCTAATGAACTTGTGATCAGCTTATTAAGTCAGCAATGGTTTGATAAATTTTGGCTATTCTTCTTTCGTTTATTTAATGTTTATTATTTTTTCATAAAAATCTAGCAAATTATAAAACAGACCCATATAAATCCAAATTTTAAACTTTGTTTAAAAATTATAAAAAAAAACCTGCAAAGTTGCATCTAAATTTTTAACTTTTAATAAGAGGTTGAAAATTTAGATTAAACTTTGCCGGTTTTTATAATTTTTGCACAAAGTTTTCTATGTGGATTTATATGGTATTTTTTATATAATGAGCCAGACTTTTTAAAAAAGAATAACCATTAAACCAAATAAAGATAGCCAACATTGATCAAAACGTGGGTGGCTTAATTAGCTGATCAGAAGTGTACATGATATTATTTTAATGCTAGTCAAATACATATTTTAAATATAAAAGTCTGTACTTATCATTAATTATGTTTACACACATGTACATATACATATATATTAACATACATATGTATATGCAGATATATGTAAATATCATTTAATATGTATATAGTTGTTTCTACATATATACATAATATACTATATAATATATACATACCTATGTTAATATTTACCTGTTTACTAAATTAATGATATGTATGTACGCTTTCTACATTTAAAATATGGAATTAATCTTAGTACTATATACAAATAGTATATGTATATACACTGCCGGTCACTTGATTAGGGCCACCGTTTGATCCTCAGTATTACAGTTTTGCTTTTGTTTACTTACAGCTAATATAATATACATATATGTATAATATAATCGTATAATCACAGCGCATGGCAGTGCGCGCGAGTGACGAAAGCAGCAACAGTGGCAGGCTGAAATTACTCGCTTATATATACACGAGGTTTGGAATTTTTTATCCAGACGTCCAATCGACATGTTTGAGATATCGTTGGAAAGGTCTTGCAGAGTGTGTCCAGAAAATGTATTCAAGCTTCATAAACGATTAACCAGATTCTTAAAAATTAGGCTAAAGTGTTGCGAAACAAAAAAGTTTTTTTGCTTTTGCCGGTTTAATGGTGCATGTAGGTATATTCATCATATATAGTGTTATTCTCTAGGCCAATACCTTTCAAACGATACCTTATATACATTAAGTTCCGGCCACTAGTTGGAAAGATATAGAAGTAAATGTGTTTTGGTTCGTGTCTCCACTACGAGATGCTTTGGTATGTATGTGGCGTCTGTACGTACCATCATTTAATTTCTTTCAAACTTTCAGCAAATAAAGTACAAGAAAAACTAAGAAGGTTTTGTTCCAGGATGTTTTGATTCGTATGCCTTTGTGGGCGTGGCTGCTGCCTGAAATTCGAAAAAGGGCAATGTTTTAAACTACCACTGAGGCCGCACTACTCAGTCACTACACAATATTTAACTCTGCTACATGAGTTTATCAGCCGCACTTAACCTACCTGGGAAGACGCGTACAATATTACCTACAGTTGCACATAAATATGTATGTATGAATGCATTTAGTTCACCTAATGTGCCGCTACTACTTACATACATATGTAGGGCTGCCAGATATCTCTGTTGCCAAACCGGGACATTTAAGGGTGGGAAAGGCCTCTCGCTCCCTTTCCTTTCGTTTCGACAAAAATTACGTACGAAAGGATGTAGTAAAATTTTATTTTGACAAACAAAAAAAAACATAAAAACATGAGATCATGATCTCATTACAACCTACACCAGCAAAACAAAACAATTTATCACAACTAAAGCACAGAGAATTTTTCACAATGCATGTACCTTTTTTGTTCCTTATAAAAATACAGTTTATACTAAATACATCAGAAAACATAAAAATAAAATTTCTAAACTATGTTCAAAGCTCAGGAAAATGCCATTTGCATAAAAATTCGCACTTTCTATTCAGACTTTTTTATAAAAATTTTGAAAATTAAGTTTTGCAGCCCATAAAAATTTAGTTGATTTTTGGTATTGTTTTTACTGAGAGTTTATTCCATACAAACTACTTATGTTCGACCTTTTTTTGTATGTGGAAGACACTGTCAGCAAAAAATAAATAATTGCAAAAAATCAACGAAATTTTCTGGTAACTTCAGACTTGCACTTTACTAGTTGGCTCAAAAGCTACATTTTCAAAATTTTTCTAAAAGATCTAATTAAAAATTATGATCTGATGAAAGAGTCTCCGAGCCAATAATTTTGAACGGCACGGTACTTATAAGTAATCTAGGTTTCACGAATGAAAAAAATTAAGTACAAGGTAACATTAAAATATCAGTCATTTGTTTCGTTGCTGTGAACTTGTTTCAAAACTTCTAGCTTTTGCTTAATATAATTGTAAAACTCTGTGCATGTCATTTTAACGTATTTAGGTACATACTTATATTAATTATCAACTATGCAAAACGTGCTAAATTTAAAAAAAAAATCGCATATGAAAGGGCACCAACCCAACTCGTAATAAATTTAAGTATACAAATTTTAGTATTTAGTATAGAAATATTCAATTCAAATACGCCAATATTAAAATGAAGCGCTTTGCACTTAACGGATGCTTTTTCATAATTAAGTTAAAAAAATAAATATTTAAATTTCATGCTGTCTGTAATGGGATTTGAACCCTGACGCTCTGGAAATTAGCAAATTGTGGCAAGCATCTTCGTGCAATCAGCTGCAGCCAGACATGTAAATGTGCATTCAAATGTTCAGTTTGATTCAACACGTGTTCGTGGTATGAAAGTAGTTTTTAAATACGAACATTTTAAAACGATAATCAAATAAAAAATATTCATGTTTACTATGCGTTATTTCCCCCAGTAAATAAAAAAGTAAAAATTTTTCTTAATATTACAATGCGTTGTTTCTCTCAGTGTAGTCATTTTTGTTCAAAATTTGTGCAATCAAATCGAAAACCGGGACACTTAAACGAAACCCGGGACATTTTAAGGTTGGACCGGGACACCGAGACAAATAGTCTAAAACCAGGACATGTCCGGGAAAACCGGGACGTCTGGCAGCCCTATACATATGTATAAATTGCCACTGAGCAAAACTACTTGAGAAAAAACCTTCGTTTAATAGCACGAGTGCACCACCGTACGCGTGATAGAAGTAAAAATTCTTAAAAAAAGCACATGTGTGCGCCCCACACCCGGTAGAAATCTTAGCAAAAACAAACTGCGAGACAATCAGAAGAATATAATTGTTTATTGTATCCAAAGTTGGTACCAAGTTGATAAGTTTTTATCATTTCTCATAATTTTTTGTATCTTTAATTTTTTCGAATACAAAGGATATGATCATTCTTTTTCGCTTTATTCCGTATTCGAAAAATTATATGCTTCAATATACACATCGATTTTAATACATAATTTAGATTTAGATAATAGTTTTAGCAATTTATTTGAGAAAAATAAAACATTTAGATTATTGTTTGTATTTTCGTCGATTTTAAAATATTTGATATCAAATAAAACACCTCTCTGAGGTAAAATTTTCAAGTGACGAAAGCTGAACTAGAAACACAAAATTTATGATATCGACGAAAATTATACGCATTTTTTAACTGCCTTAGAAACGTACAGAAAATCTTTTTTTTATTTATTCGGAACGTTGCGAAATTCCGTCTACTTCTAGAAACACAAAATAGAAAATAGAACTTTTCAACGATTCGTATGAATAAAAAAATTTTCCCTACGTTGCCAAGGCAGTTAAAAAATGCGTATAATTTTGGTCACGAAATTGATATCATAAATTTTGTGTTTCTAGTTCAGCTTTCGTCACTCGAAAATTTTACCTCAGAGAGGTGTTTTATTTGATATATACATACATCTATATAAATGCTAGTTTACATATACATATCTTAGTATATAATAATAGTTGTATTACTATATTTATTATTGGGGTATTCGCAACGGTGTCGTAAATGTCGTATTGTTGTATGTCGTAAACTTTAAGCGGTTAAACAAATATCTAGAGGACTTGAAACCACAACCAACTGCTTTTAACTGCGTGAAAATTCATATGACTTAGCTGTTTAAAGTTTACAACATTCAACAGTACGGCACTTACGTTACCGTTGTGAATACCCCATATGTAATTAACATTACAATAAATGTTCCTACAGAAATGGAATTATAGCCTTTAATAAGTTAAAAAAAAACTGAATTTAAACATTATTATTTTAATAGTTTACAAGTAAACTAATATATGTATGTACATACACCTATACATATAATAAATTTTGTACAATTAAAAATCAAATTGAATTCACTAAAATGAACCGAAAATGTATTAATTTTAAATTCTCAAATATATTGTTTATTTCAATAAGAAATAAATAAAACATTAAAAAGTACTCAATGCTTACTGTACGATACGAATTTGGATATATACTTGGGTAATGTATAATTCCTCAAATAATCGCTTACATAATTCTTTATATAATTCCTCAAATAATCCATTATATAATTGCGTATGTAACCCTTATATAATTCCTCAACTAGTCCATGATATAATTCCCCAACTGATACCTTATACGTTCCTTATTTAATGGCATAGACAATGCCTTATATATCCCTTAGCTATTCGGTGTTCGAGTGAGAGCGATATAGAATACATAAATACTAGAAGCCCATATAAAAGAGCGGTACAAAAGATCACACGTACACGAATTTATCCCTTAGGTTTCTCCATTTGGCCTGTACAATATAATGGAATGTTTTCAAATTCTTAAGGGATACTTTTCTTAGTGTTTTGGCACATATAAGGGATTATATAAGCCATACCGTTCTAGCTGGGATTTTAATATACCTTACGTACATATGTACCTTTGTATACAACAAAAGTTTA